TGCCTTGGTCGAGTCTAGAATTAAGTTAAGGTAAGGACCAAAATTAAGTTGTTCTATCCACTCGATCTCACCTCACCTTATTCCTAACACACACACACACACACACACACACACACACACACACACACACACACTTTGCATTCCCACCTTATTTTTCCCGTCTCAGTCACCAAAAGTTAACCAAAAACACAAGAACCTTTGGATGCTTAACAGAGGAACAGCAGATTCCTTTTTAGGTTGTCTTCATGTTTCCACCCCGACACAAGGGCCCTGGGTCCTTATGTGAACCATTGTGAAACATTTACCTGTCCTTGTTTGAACCATTTACCAGTCTTCCCCGCCCCGCCGCCGTCCCCATCCTGCCCCGGCCCCTCTGCTCCCGCCACAGCAGCACCAGACTCCCGGTGGGCTCCTCCTCAGCCACGCACCCCTCCAGCTGCAGCCCCTCCTCCCTGTCCCCATTCCCCCATCCTCACCCATCAGACCCCCCTCCTCTAAGTTGTGGAGTCCATCTCAGTGGGCACCTTCTCAGAGAAGTCCTCTCAAGTCTCTTTCCTCCCAGCGCCCAGTGGCTGCTGCCATGTTTGTGCTTCTGAAGAGTCAAGAATGAATGAATTGGGTCTTTGCATCTGTCAATACTTCCAACCTTCCCAGTCACCTCAAGTAGGCATCACTGGTCCATTTCACAAATGAGGACACTGGGGACCTGTTCGTCGCTTGACTAGGCAAACATTTATCAGTCGTCCCTTGCCAGGCGCTGGGAACACAGCAGCAGACATCAGACACAGCCCTCTTCTCCATGGATCCTACGGGATCTTACAAGGGATCAGTCCAGGAGGTGGGAGTGAAGCAGATAACAGACGATTCCAGTTGTGAAGATGGGTGCCATGGGAGGGTGCAAGAGGAGGTGATGCCCAGCTTTGGAGGTTCCGGAAGGCATCCCTGGGTAGGGGCCCCTTTGGAGAAGACCCGAAGGCTCAGGGAGGCCACCCAGGGAGGTAGTGAGGGCAGAGTGGGATCTGAATGTGGGTGGGTTTGGTTCTACTGGGCCTTAGGACCTGCCCTGCTCTAAATATTTGCATTGACATCATCGTATTCTAGTGTGTAATCTACATCTCTGTCTCCCTAGTGGACTGCAGCCCCTTGAGAGCAGCATATCCGAGGCACCTGGTACAAGCTCAGATTCTGCTCTGTGGAGTTGGTTATTTCTGGGGTTTTGTTTGTTTGCTTTGTTTTTTTAACAGAGGCACTGGGGATTGAACCCAGGACCTTGCACATGCTAAGCATGCACTCAACCACTGAGCTCTACCCTCCCCTCCATAGATGGTTATTTCTTTAACCAACATATCGATGTGGTTTTCTCATAGAGCCTTTGAGCACCTGGCATTCTGTTGGCAAGCTCCTCTGACTCAGACGTTTCCTATTTTATGGGGGGCTGGGGGTGACCCAGGGTCAGCGTGCAAGAGGCGTAGCAGCTGGTGTTAGCTCTGCAGCAGGTGGAACTCAGAAGCAGCTCATTCGTCTGATTAAAACGACATGAAGCATGTCCTCCCAGATGCCACATGGCATAGGGCTCCTTCCCAGCCTGCGGCCCAGGCCATTTTGGGGATGAGAGAGGAGCTGCTGCTTTGTGCTAGGCACCGTGCTAAGGGTGGGGGATGCAAAATGGGACCCCGCACTGTGACTTAGAGTTTCTTTTTCCTGCTACTTAGGAGCTCGCAGTGCAGTAGGGCCAAAAGACATGCCCAGAGTCCATGCACACACAAGGATGTGCACACCGGCTCCTGGTGTGCAAGACTCCAGGTGGGCACAGGTGGAGGGAGTGGCTGATCCACAGTGGGCGGGGCGGGAGTGTAGGAAGACCTCTCAGGCAGGTCCAAGTCCTCTTGCTTAAGTTGAGAGAATGAACAGCAATGAGCCATGGGCAAGGGTCTCACCTGTACAGAGGCCCAGAGAAAGAGAACAGATGGCACATTTGGGATCTATAAATGCCCACAAGAGCCAGCTGGTTGTGGTTGCCTATCAGACACAAATGGGATATTCTCTATTTCCTTTAAAAAATGTCCTCCCTCCCACTTTTCTTGACTTGTACCCAGTGAAATTGTCCTTCATTCTTCCATCTTTGATTGAAACTTAAGTAAGAGAAATTCTGCTCTACTCTAAGAAAAACAACAGCTTAAATCCAATGATCATGTCAATCAGTAAGTGATACTTGGCTCCCGCTGGGAAGACAGCTGGGCATGGTGAGGACTGGGGCAAACTGGAAAGTGTCTTCTCCATATGAAGAGGACAGCCTTTCTCAACTCCAGCTACCCACTGGCTCCAGATCTTGCAATTTTTCAGAAAAAGAGAGCAACCTGGATTTTTGTCAGTTAGCTAAGTTTTGTAAACAGTGCTTTGCTTAAAAAACAAAAAACAAAACCAAACAAAAACAAAAACACAAACTGCAGACCAGACGGAACACATCTGTATGCTGAGCCTTATTCATGGGCCATGCTTGCAGTCTCTTGTTTAAAGGCTCCAGAGGTTGCCAGGGTATTTTCAGAATCCTTCAACAAGTCATTGCTTTGCTTATAGTTACTCCTAACCATCCTTCTCCCCCTGCTTTCCAGAAAGAGATGACGAGCAGGATGTGTCACTAACGCCCCATCTTATCCTTCGGAAGAAAGAGGAAAGCTGTTTCCTCCGGAGTCCCGGGCGGGCAGGAGGGAGACTTCCCTGGCTGAAAAGATGCACCGACTTCCAGGAGCAGGCGAGCTGGAGACCAGCGGTGATTCCCAAGAGATGTTCCCACTCACTTCATGTGCTCTTAACCCTCTGAGTGCTGCTAGCCACGACCTGTGGACCTGGCTGGGAGGGGGACGGCCCCCTCCCTTCTGTCTCCGATCGGATCGTCCCGGAGGAAGGAAGCCTCTGCACTTATGTGCGCGTCGCAGTTCTGCTGTGACCTAACGCCTAAGCTTTACTGGAATTCAGGTTTTGAGACTGAGATACCTAATTGTACTTTTCCACTTACCTGTCTTGTCGGCCAGCTGCCTTTTCTGTCATGTGTTTTCTTAGTCCCCAGTGAATTTTGAAACTCTGGGTGCACAGCCAGCTTTTCTCTAATGAGCCTTCCTGTCCGGTCCCTGCAGGCTCCGGTCCTGATGCTGTGGTCTTGCTCAGAGGCCCGCAGCCCGCCCGGCAGCATCAGTGCAATTTCTCTCATAGGCAGTTTTCCCAGCGGATGGCTGGGTCTCTGCCCCGAACAAGGTCTGCACTACACATTCCCTGCAGGGAAGAGACTGGTCCGTAGTCTAAGGCTAACGAGTTACCAGTTCACCCTGAACAGAATGTGTTTTTTAATAACCACACCATTCCTTATCGCTTCCATTCAAGACAGTTTTCCCTGTTTCCCAGAAGAGAGCAATAAAAGAAGTTATAAATGACCAAGAGTGATCTGCAGAAGCCCTGAGTCAGATTAATGCAGCATTTGTTCTTAATTAAAGGGTGTGGTGGCTGTCTCTACACAATACTGAAATTTCAACGGAAAAAAACAAAAACCAAAAGACCAAAAGTACAATGGGTAATTGGTGCGTGCAGCCCAGATGCCTGACCCATTGCCTGGTAATCTTCCCAGCCAGCCCTCTGAGCTTCTAGATCCAGCCGAAGTTTTCCTTCTCTTCCTCCACTCACTCCCCTCCTCTGCCTTATGATGTTATGACACAGAGCTACTTTCTGCCCGGATGATGCTTGTGCCACGGTTGCCAAGGTAACAGTGGAGCTGGAGCCATCTTCCTTCATCCGTCCTCCCCCGTGTCCCTGTCCCAGCAGACAGCATCATTCTGTGCTACACCCTGCCTTTTGAAAGCTAAGTGACTTTTAGCTGAAGAAATGTGGCCTTCTCTGATTCATTCGCAAAACTGTGGTGATCCTGAGAGCCTGGGACGAGGGGGCAATGACACTTCCCGTGATGGTTTGAATTGGACAAAATAGCAGTTGGTGGAGGGGTGTAGATAAGATTGTGTTAGTGCATCTTAATGAGATCCTGATTAAAGAATAACTAAACAGTTCTGGTGTCATTTTATTACACGTCACATGTTACAGTCATCTGTGGCTGCCAGGACAGCCTAGGAAGGCATGAAATCTTTCTTTGTCCAAACGGAGGAAGGGCTGGCTGTCTGGGCGCGGTAGTGTTCTGCGTTGACCCTACCCAGCAAACCAACCCACACTCCGTATCCCGTCCAAGTTGTCTCCTGGAATCCAAACGCTGCTGCTACCTCTCTCCACCTCGTTGTGCTCTGATCAACGACCAGTATGCCTTTTTTGTTTGTTTGTTTGCTTCCTTAGTATCTTTGAGAGGATAAGATAGGCAAAGATTTTTTGCTACATCATTGTTGGCCGAAAGAATATCTTTCTGTCCTAAGGATGCCGAGAACAGAGACACAGGATCCCCTCTTCCCGACCTCTGCCGTATGCAGTGCGTGCCACGTGGAGTGTTGGTCAGTGGGACCGAGAAGTGACAGCTTGGAGCCCAGGCCTTAGGAGGAACTCTGAAGCTTTGCACCGTGGAAAACTGTCAGTTTTACATTAAAAAGTGGACGAGGTTCCTGCCTTTCAGTAATGCCTAATTAAGTAGGATGGTGGACTCTGAAAACTTTGGTGATGAATTCTTTTTAAGGTTATTTGCTATTAACTGTTTGTGCCTATGAAATTTCCATTCAGTTAAAAAATCCAGATATTTTTGGAACTTCTTGGAACAATTTCCTTCTGAATATATTGTTCACTGCACTAGTCAGTCCTCCCAGCATGAGTGCTGGCAAACCTCCTATTTTTTAATTACAGAGTGTTCTTCTTCCTGCGGACTTTGTTTGGCAAATTCTAAAGAAAATCATTAGAGGCAATTTTTTTTTTTTAAATCTCTTTGGCCTGCCTACATCTTAAGGACATCTCCTGGCCATTGGAGATCTGGGCTCCTGGCAGCCCCTCAGGGCATCTCCTGCTGTCTGGGTCTGAGATTGACACCTTGCGCCTCCCTCCTAACCTGGCTGGTTCTCCCTCATTTCCCACTGTTTCACTTTTTTTGTTGTTGAATAATACATGTATCCATGAATTTTTCTTTTTAATTTTGAGAAATGTCAAGGTGGAAATTTCAAAAAGGAAAGATTATAATGAACATCCGTATACCCTTAGTTGTCATTCTGTTTAGTGGGTGAGCCTTCTTCTCTAATGTATGTGTGTGGCGTGCGTATGTGTGTGTGGTCTCTGTGTCTGCGTGTACATGTACGTGGGTCTTTCATGACACTGACACTATGAAAGAGTTCACACCAGTTTGTTTGTAGAATGTGCCCACAATCAGGAATTTTTTTCTGATTGTTTCCCCATTATTAGATTCAGGTTAAACGTTTTTATTAAGAATACTATATAAGTGATGTTGTTTCTTTCCTTTTGCATCACATCCAGAAGCATGCAATGCCCAGTAGTCCCTTTTTATGATAGATACTAAGCTTGATCAGTGGGTTCAGGCATTATCTGCCTGATCCAGTCATTATAAAGTTCCATGATTCATTAGAAAGCTCTGAAATTCAGTATGCATACATTTTATAGAGTGTGCGACTGTGTATATGTGTTTCCTTTTTTTTTGGAATCTTTAACTTCACATTTAATGAACACACAGCATTTTAACAGGTTCTGTGCAGACATGGTTCTAATATTGATTTGCTGTCACCTTATTTTTTTAAAAAGGGTTGGAGTGGGGAGATACAGAGGCTAGGTTAACCTGGCCCCAGTGCTCATATATGTGCTTTCCTTTCTTAATATTCTCAAAGAGCTCCAGGGTTTCCCAAAGATTACAGCCTTTGCAGTTAGATGACATAGCAATGACAAAAAATCCATCTCTTCCCATTTAACAGAGGGAAGGGGAAGCAAGAAGTTTACCTCTGCAGCTAACATGCAAGTCTGCTGGCTAATGAGAATTTGTGTGGCCCCTATAGCCAGAGCCAAAATATATATAACTTTTTTTTCTGTATCGTCAGTGACCTCCCATTCAGACTGATGGCTTATTTTACTAAAAAACTTCACTCTGTGCATCTATACTCCTCTTGAGTTCTCTGAACATTTTGGCCATCATTACTTTAAACTCTTTCTCAGATAAATTACCTATCTCCTCATCAGTTATTTCTTCTCTTGGGATTTTATCTCGTGCCTTGGCCTGGGAGATATTCCTTTGCCACGTCACGTCATCTATCTTTCTGTGTGTTGTGGACTCCTTCCACAGGCTTTGGGATTATT